AAATTCAGTCCATTTGGACGCATTCATCGAACCTAGGTTGGGAACTTGACGTTTGTCCTGAATTATACAAGATTTGGCCTGTAAACGTCTCTGTATATCTGCAAAGAAAGCAAAAATGATCTTGTGGTCTGATAAATACAAATCAGAATAGTCTAAAGATGAGAATAAAAGTCTGAAACGAGGTTAGGTAAAGCAAAGATGGTATTAATGCGTGAACTTTGATTGTTAACACAAAATGTAAGTTCAGATGTATCATGACATAAGTCATAAAGATCTAAGAAGTTAAGTGCGAAAATTTGGTCATAAAAATCGAATCTCCAGTGAGAAGCGGAGCCAAAATTAGAATTGGATTAGTAGGTATCGAGGTTTGCATTAAAATCACCTAAAAGGATAGTTTTAAAGTCAGACTTTAGACCATCTTTTATATGCTTGATAATTATTTTATGAAGATTAAGTCTATCTTTCTTCGTTCCAGATGTTAATGATGCATGAAGGTAGATACAGAAGATTCTTAATTTGATATGGCCAGTAAGGTATAAATCGATGTAAATGAATCTGTAATCATCCAAAAAGGTTCGTTAGATATAAATGGCCCAGGAACGTTTGACAAGAATGCCAATTCCAATGTGAATATTAATACGAGAGCTCCAAAAGGTGCAAAAATTCAGATCATGTAAATATCGATAGAATTGGTTAGACTTGTGACGGGTTTCAGTAAGGCCAATAAAATTAGTGTTAAAATTTATGAAAGTATCGTTAATCAAAGTATTTTTGATAACACATTATAATGAATTAATATTATAGGTGGCAAATGAAAGATTTGAAATTCCTTTTGAAGTATTATTATAGTTATTAGTAGAAGTATTGGGGGGTAGATTATTGTTATTATTTGTTATTATATTAGAAGGATTTAAAATCATGATAGGAATAATAGAGATAGGTGGCAATTATTGTTTGGCTAACTTGTCAGTCAAAGACTGGAGTTGCGTCATCATAATATTAAGTTGTTATTATTAGGCGACAATAATTCCATTTTGTTCTTCAATAATAGCTTGCATATTAACATTAACAGGGTGAGGTACATAGGCTTCGTTATCATCCGATGATGTATTAGCAATTCTGGAATATTTATTAATGTGTAAAATAAGGCTGTGTTGATGGTTGATGAGGGTGATAGGAGGTTGAGAGGTAATAAGAGTTTGTTGGAGTGGTAGGGGAGATAGTGACTTTGGGAATTTTTACTAATTTTTTTTTTGTTTTTAATAGAAGTAGACTTTTTTGCTATTGGTTAAGATAAGTTTACAAATCAGAATAGTTGTTTTTTCAGATTTTTACTAATTTTTTTCTTTTATAATAAAAATTGACTTTTCTTGCTATTGGTTAAGGCAAGTCTACAAATTGAAATGGTGATTTTTCAAATTTTTACTAATTTTTTCTTTTTTTAATAGAGGTGGATTTTTCTTGTTTATTGGTTAAGGTAAATCTATATATCGAGACTCTTTTAGGGAGATTTTTTCAGGTTTTTACTAATTTTTTTCTTTTTTTAATAGAAGTTAACTTTTTTTCTTATCATATATATTAAATAATTAAATTTAATAAATTTGTAACAATCAGAAGCTTTATTGTTAATAAATATACTTTCTTATAATTAAATGTATTATATTAATGTAAATTATATCAATAATAAAATTCTTTTTATTATAATTAATCAGAATTATTTACTTATATAAAATAAACAATTATAAATTACCTGTATTATAAAATTTGATAAAATGTTACCAATCGGAATATATTATTTGTATAATAGATAATAATAAGAATATCCCTATTAATAACTTAGGAATAACCCAATTGGAAACTGGATGTTAATAAATTGATATCAATAAAAATAACCTTATTGATATCTTTATAACACCCCAATTGGAATCTTATGTATCCTATTTGCACTATTATTCATCATCAATCAGAATCACCTGATTCTAAAAAAACAAAAAAATAGTGAACCAATCAGGTCAAATCTGGGTTACCAGATTTGACCTAATTGGTCTCCTATTTGTCATTGTTTAACTAGTATTATGAATGCTTTATGAGAAAGCTAACACTAGCATAAGTGTTAATGGTAAAACTTCAAAAAGAAGAAAAATTAGGGTTGTGCTTATTTTTGTAAGTTTGGTCTGATTTGTAATAAGTTTTAATAAGACTGATAAAGTTTGTGTTGAAGTCTAGGAAAGTAGTTTATTCTTTAAGTTACATTATAGAGAGTGAATCTTATGAATAGCAAAAGAGATAGTAGGTGACCTATTTAAATTGATATTATTGTTGGTATAGATGTCTAAATTATGTAAAGTAGTAATATTATTATTGTCAATAATTATAATAAAAATAGAAAAAAGGGTGGTAATAATTTTTATAATTTTTCAGTAAAAAATTGAAGTTGAATCATCATGACATTCATTTGTTCTTTCTGAACTTTAATAATTGAGTTTTGTTTATCAATGATATTCTGTAATTTTTAAATTGATAGAATTAGAGTCAGAGTAGATATTCTCATTAGAGGAGGAGTCATTAACGTGAGAATGCTTATTATTATGAGAAGAGAAACTTAGTATTGTTAACATGTGATTTTGGTAGATTGCTACAGTTAAACGAAGTGTTCAAGTGTGGTTTCTTTTTAATATACGTAGTAATCTACTAATTTATTCCTAAGTCCTAGATGTATAATCGGTTCCATTTAGACATATTTAACTGTAATTCACTAAGACTTGTATATTCACAAAGATTCACAACAGCTGTAGTTGTCACGAAGGCAGAAGACGAAAATGGGATTTCTGAAACAAAAATCCAAAAGATATCCAAAAAGGTTTTCTGACCGTCCACGAATCCATTTTAGCTATATGAATTAAATTATTGAATTTAAACCTCTAGTGCATTTTGACTCAATTCTAGATGATGTTATCAAACTTGACTAGGAATTAGCATGTTTGATATCAAAAACTACACTGTTTAATATAGCAATTCTAGCCTAATTTTAATCCCAAATAATATATCAAAAATTTTTTACTATTCTGTTTTCTTCAGAAGAAGCCATTGAAAAACAAGGAACAAAGTGACGCAATTTGAGCTGGGCCTGACATTGCAAACCCAAATTTAATAATAACTTTTATGCTATTCTGCTTGCCTCTGGAGGGGCCATTGAAAATCAAGGAACAAAGTGTCATGATTTGAGATGGGCCTGACCATACAAGCCTAAAATGCATACCATATTTTATGATATCATAGAATTAATTCTAAAGCTGATTCATTAACGTAAACAAAATCAAAATTTCAGTACTCACATCAATGTGGGTACCAAAATTTTGTATGTACGCAAGAAAGTTAAAAAGTCATAGAACACATTCTAGTATACCATTTTTTTTAATATACAAGAACACATTTTAAAACTATTTCAATTACACAAAGTTAGAACAAAAAAATAGTACCAGGATACCAAAATTTTAATAGACTATTTACTATTTATTAGGGCCTTAAAGCGCAGTCTGTTATAGTATTGGGAGACATAAAACCCATTTATATGATTAGGACATCGACCAGAAGCTGATCTATTAAGTTTACTACATTCACTACAAGAAGTAAGTTACTTATTAGCCAACTTTATAACATATTTCTAATGAATAGAACATCCTTGTTCACGTATACAGGATCGACCACAAATTTTACTAGAGATGTGTATAAAGGGACAAGTATATTCACCATACATAATGTAATTATTTTATATATACTAAAATAATTAATTAAAATAAAAAGTTTATATAAGTATTATATAGTAATATATACACTTACACAATGAGTACACAAATTCAATTATTTGAAGTAAAGCCTACTTTCTAAAAAGTCAAAAAGGCTTTAATCAAAGTGCTTAAGGCAGGGAAGGGATTCTCTATGAAAGACCAAAAGATGGTAAGTTTATGCAAAATTATAAAAAGCGTGTTCTAGAATTACATCAAACAGAAGATCCTAAATCATATAACTTAAAAAATGCAAGAAAACTATTGCTAACAGAAGACAAATATAAGCAAATTATTAGTAATTATAAATCATATTATGATAAAGATTTAAAAATTCTTAATGCTATTATAAAACTACAGTGAACTCTTGATATAACGAATTCTAGGGTCTGGATATCAACTTCGTTATAAGCTTATAACGAATTTTTTAAAGAATTTAATTGGCTAGTTCACTATAGTAAAGGTAATTTTAATATATTTGATTTAAAAATTCGCTATATCAAGGGTTCGCTATATCAAGGTTTGACTGTATATGGTTATACTATAGGTTAGCTAAGGATTATTTTATTACAGAAGAACAAGTTGATAAAACACTTGAGGATTTCCTTATCATGTAAGTATCCATCAAGGTGATAGCTAAGCTTCTTTAATAACCATCAATCTTTCTTTTACAAAAGATCTTTTCAGACTATTACCTTTATCATCTTTCAGCTAGTATAAGACTGGCTGATTTTTTTGCACTAAAGATTCACGGATATGATAAACTTAAGGAGACCAAATCATATCTCCAGCACATCTTCTTCCACCTTCTAACTCACCTGGTTTAAGTAAATATCTTACAAGAACATCATAAGTTAATTGCTTTTCATCAAACCCTATAGGCCCATTTCAAGACTTAGAAGGTTTTGCATAAACATGCTTTAGTTTTCATGCATTAGCAGGAGAAATACCTAGAAGACGATACACAGAATTATCAAAATTCTCAAGAAAAATTAAAAGGTTTTTAACCCAAGCTCAACAATGTTCTGATATAGGTAATCTCATATCAACAGCATCTTGAATAATAGATGACCATTCTTGTAATATCTTATTAAACTTTTCAACAATACCATACTTTCTTTAGAATTAGCTATTAGAATATTGATATCATATTTATTCATTAATCTAATAACATCACCCCAAAATTCAACACCCCCATCCACCATAAGATCTTTTTTAGGCTAAGTAAGCGGACATTTTTAGGAATTGAAAAGTTTTTTCAAAGTCTATAGCAACGCTAGCAGAATCACGGTTAGTTAAAGGATAGGTCCATTTTGTATGTGTAGCAATATCTACACAATTAAGTGCAAATTTATAAATTTTATTTCCAATTTGATCGTAAGGCATATAGTATAAGTCAGCTTGAATAACCTCCATAGGTATAGTAACATTAATGAAAGATGCACTTGAAATATTTTTAGGATAAGGTTTATGAACCTGATGCACAGCTTGTCTCTCAAGCCAATCATGCACTTCATTTAAAAGAAAATTAAACCCAGCTTTTAGAGAAGCTTTATGCAATTTTTTTGCAGTTCTTTGATAATCTGAAGGCAGGTAATAAATCTTTTGCAAATTAGTAGATATATCTAAATTTCTAGTTTTACTCGAATCTATTTATATAATAGGAATCAATGTCATAGACCTGGCTTATATCAAAATCCTTGATACTAATAAAGAGTTATGCAAAGAATTAGCAAATGAAATAGCTGAAAATAATCTTAAGGATAAAATCTCAAAGCACTTAGCAAAGAGCTAAAAACTTGTTATAGGACATTATCTCACCAGGATTCAGCAATATTAGCTTACGAAGATGAAATATCATCTCTAAAATCTGAGATTACTTTACTAAAAAAGTATCTCTACCCAGCTCAGCAGGATTTATGACATAAAGGTAATGCTAGTACTGCACAAAATATTTATATTTTGAGGCTAGAAAATAAGGTTGATCAGCTTAAGACCCGTATTTATAAAATAACTGATCTAAGTCATAAAAAAGTTTCAAATAATAAAGAAATATTAGATATGAAGCATATAATATAAGCTATTTAGATAGGCGATTTGAGGCTTCAGCTTTTTTAGCAAGAATTCAGATACATTTGAATAATGCAGGAGTTATACTTTCAGATGATATAAGAGGCAATTTGATAGAATTGACACATGTTTGACTAATATTATTACCTATATCCGTTTAGTTTAAAGATATTAGCAAGATCAGAATATAGTAGTAGAACAAAGTGTTAGATGAGCTAGAACTCTAAGGTAATAATTGCAAGAAGTCTGAGCTAGGTCACAAAATGATAATCAAATACTAACGTAAGCTCTAAATAATAAAACAGATGAGCGTTGTGTATAGTTGCTTAGAACTCAGAGAGCAGAAAGGCATAACCATATATTATTGCAAGAAAAGGTAGGCTTTCGACTAATAAATCGAAGACATAAAGCTGAAGCTAACTTAGCAGAATTCAATAGAGCCTAGATATTTAACCGATATCAAAATTGGAAAGCTTGAGAAATAAATTCGAGACAAATTATTTTGAATTTACAAATAAATCCTCCAGGAAATATGGCTATCCTACCAAATGTTTTAAATTTAATAGCCCCACTTTTAGCTCAAATACTGCAATATGTTGGTCAAAAGCTACCAGATGACTATTGTAATAAGATTATGCAGGCGATTAATTATGGTCGTTCATTAAGAGTAGTAGCCTTTAATGATGTTATGAAAACTAATATACTGTATTAGCAGGAAAGATGGCAGGAAGGTTTACTCATCCTAATCCATTTAATAATAATGCCAGAATTGTGGTTGCTACTTCAGCATTATTTATAGTATGGCTTTGAGAAACATATTATACATTAAAACTAGATTTAGCATAAGCTTCTATGAAAGCACTTATGACTGATAAATTCTTTTCTATTGATACTCCTGAAATATATGAAAAATGAATTAAACCACGTATAGATACTTTATCATTTGCAGATACTCTACCTATTCTTTATAGTCATTTACCTGAAAATTTTGAATTACGGATTAAAATCAGAAATCCAGTAAATCTAAATACCTTTTTTACCCAACTTACCCAACTTAATGATAAATGGTTAGAAGCTGGTAGACATGTTGGTTTTTCTTCCTTTAGTGAAGAAACTCTATTTCATTTATCTATAAAAAAAGATTCACAAGCTGAACATGAATTTATAGTTTGTCTTGCAAAGGATTTGGATTATTTAGGTATAGCAATAGATATCTCAACCTTAAGACCATATATCTATGATGAACTTAGTAAAAGATTAGGGTGAAAATTATCTAATATTAGAAGAAGCCCCTTCTCAGAGTTAGAGGTTAGAAATACAAATGCTACAAAAAAAGCTGTTAGAAAGATAGTACAAAAACCACCAGTTAAACGAATTATTCGTCTTTGTTCAATCTGTAGAAAGGCTGACCATACAAAGATTAATTACCCTGAAGTTAAGAAGACTAAAAACGTTATTTATGTATATCAAAATGCTGAGAAAGATCCAGTCCTATGGAAACACACTGAAAATTCTGAAGAATCTGAAATAGAATACATACTTGAGGAAGAGGAAGATCTCAAAGAGCCTGAAATAGAATACATAATTGAGAAGGAAGTTGAGAAGAGTGATGAATGTGTTGATGATGATGGAACTGTTCTAAACAATACTAGCCAAAACTGCTATGCTATAAAAAAAAGTAATGTGAAGTAGAGTACCTATGAAAAAGACTTATAAGAAAGAATCCCCTACTTTCAAGTCTCGTAAAAAAGCAAAACCCTCAGCACCTATAACCATGATTGAAGATTATGTTTTTTTAATAGCCTTAAATCTATATTATCATCAGTTATACAATATATTTCTAATGAAATTCTTAAGGAAAGCTCTCAATATATTAATACAATATATCTTAAATTGAAAGATCAGATTCTGAATATGGCTATAAAAGATGATACTGTTAAGGAAAGGGAAAATGTATGGAGGTATGTTACAAATAAAATTATAGATATTTTACATCCACTAATCCAAGCCACAAATATAAAGCAAAAATCTCTTATTCAAGTCCTGATAGAAGAAAAGCTAGAGAGTCTTAAAGTGAGTGAGTCAGATGATCCTATGAATGATATAATACTAGTGGGTTTTAATACTCTAAACCATGCTATTAAAGCATATCACAATATCATTCAGCTGAAAAAAAAATAGTCAAATATATTGGCTCAAGCCCTTAGAGATAAATTTTTCACAAATAAAGGATGCTGACGATGTTGTGACTATTTATTGCAAAATAGGAGGTTTGGTAATACCTTGTGCAATGATTGATACTGGCTCTGATTCTTTCATATTTTTAGATAATATTGCTAAACTTATCGAAGAGCTTTTAGGTATTAAAATTAATAGGAAAAAAATTTATAGACTTAATGGGGTTGCAAGTCAATCCATATCTATCGACACTATTGATAATGTTTCCATAACAATTGGTTCTGGAGAAAATACAGCCTCTATCATAGATGAATTTTCTGTTGTACCTGCAGAAAAGGATTAGAATAGAAATGCTAAATCTTTAGTAATTCTTGGTACTTAATGGCAATATCGAGCTGGATAGGAATCTTTAGTGAAAGGGGATTTTAAAGCCATATGTAATGGAAAGACTATTACCATTCCCCTATCAGTTCACAAATCCCAGCATAATATCTTTACTGTATAGAAGAAGGACTTAAAAAAAAGTTAGATAATTGGACATGTATATATTATTTTAAGGTATTTCGTTATTCTTGTAAATTAAGAGAGTATATGAAAAGAAATAATCAGTGCTTACAAAAAGTGATTGACTGCCGACGAGAAATGACTTACTGCCCACGAGAAATGACTGACTGCCCACAAGAAGTAACTGACTGTCCACGAGAAGTAACTGACTGTCCACGAGAAGTAATTGACTGCCCACGAGAAGTGACTATGCCTGTTCGATTATTATTAGCATAGATTTATAATTAATTTAGAATGGAACTATGAACACATGACTGGAATGTATATTTTTTCAGATGACAGGATCATCTTAATTTGTATGAAAACTAGGTATAATAAAATTTTTTATTTTCGATAGAAGAGGTGTGACCACCATGGTCACAGTGGCGCAGTATATTTTGCTTATGATGATAATTATAAAAGTCCGATTTACCGTAACGATCTTAAAACGCAAATATCTCGACATCTACTAGCCCAAATTTGATGAGGATTGAACGTCTGAATTCAGCAGGTTCTGATCTTTCCAACAAGCCTAAATTCGCATACATCCGATCAGTGGGTGTCGAGATATTATCCTTCAAATTTCGGGCAAAAAATATATATACTCTATATTATGTTTAGCCAATTAGATCGCCTGAATATAACTGCGTGATCATGTGACACCGCGTGGACTTCCGTTGAATGCCATCTGACACTGAGCCCTAAGGGAGCAGTATCATGTGACCAAATTACATACACATTATTTATGGATACTATTAAACA